CTGCCAGACCTTTGCCCACTCACTCAATGCATGTATGTTCCTCTGCAAAGTTTCACAGTCCTCTGCACACTTTGCTCTGCCACTCATCTTAGTGTCATCTGCAAACTTTGACACCCTACACGTGGTCCCCAGCTCCAAATCATCTATATAAATTGTAAATAATTGCAGTCCCAACACCGATCCCTGAGGCACACCACTAGTCACTGACTGCCAGCTAGAATAGCACTCATTTATCCCCACTCTTTGCTTCCTGTTAGTCAACCAATCCTCTATCCATGCTAATACTTTACCCTTAATGCCATGCATCCTTATCTTGTGCAGTAGCCTCTTGTGCGGCACCTTGTCAAAGGCCTTTTGGAAGTCTAGGTACACCACATCCACTGGGTCCCCATTGTCCACCTCGCTCGTAATGTCTTCATAGAATTCCAAAAGATTTGTCAAGCATGACCTGTCCTTCATGAACCCATGCTGCGTCTGCCCAACGGGACAATTTCTATCAAGATGCCTTGCTATTTCTTCCATGATAATAGACTCAAGCATCTTCCGCACTACAGAGGTTAAGCTAATTGGACTATAATTCCCCATCTTTTGTCTACTTCCCTTTTTAAACAGTGGCATCACATTTGCTGTTTTCCAATCTGCTGGGACTGCCCCAGAGTCCAGCGAATTTTAAAAAATTACCTCCAGTGCACCTGCTATTTCTCCCGCCATCTCTTTTAGTACCCTGGGATGCATTTCATCAGGGCCAGGAGACTTATCAATCCTTAGCTCCATTAGCTTGCCCAACACTACCTCTTCCGTAATAATGATTGTTTCCAGGTCCTCACCTACCTTCGTCTCTTTGTCAATTACTGGCATGTTATTAGTGTCCTCCACTGTGAAGACTGATACAAAATACCTGTTCAATGCCTCGGCCATTCCATCATATCCCATAACTAAATTCCCCTTCTCATGCTCTAAAGGGCCAACGTTTACTTTCGCCACTCTTTTCGTTTTATATATTTATAGAAACTTTTCCTATCTGTCTTTATATTCTATGCTAGTTTTTTTCTCATGTTCTATCTTACTTTTCCTTATAGCTCTTTTTGTGGCTTTCTGTTGACCTTTAAAGTTTTCCCAATCTTCTAGTTTCATACTGTTTTTGGCCACTTTGCATGCCTTCTCTTTCAATTTGATAGCCTCCCGTATTTCTTTAGACACCCATGGCAGATTACCCCTTTTCATTGGAATATACTTTTGCTGAGCACTTTGAAAGATTGCTTTGAAAGTCCTCCACTGCTCGTCAACTGTCCCACCATAAAATCTTTGTTTCCAGTTTACTTTAGCCAAGTCCTCCCTCATTCTATTGTAGTTCCCCTTGTTCAAGCACAGGATCCTTGTATTGGATTTTATCTTCACACTCTCCATCTGTATTCTAAATTCAATCATACTGTGATCACTCCTTCCAAGAGGATCCCTAACTATGAGGTCATTAATTATTCCTGTCTCATTACACAGGACCAGGTCTAGGATAGCTTGCTCCCGCGTTGGTTCCATTACATACTGTTCAAGAAAATTATCACGGATACACTCAACGAACTCCTCCTCAAGGCTACCCTGACCGAGCTGGTTCGACCAATCTACATGTAGGTTAAAATCCCCCATGATAATTGCCGTACCATTTTTACAGGCATTAGTTATTTCTTTGTTTATTGCCCGCCCCAATGTGATGTTATTATTTGGTGGCCTATCGACTACGCCTATCAGTGACTTTTTCCTCTTAGAATTTCTAATTTCCACCCAAATGGATTCAACCTCATTCTCCATAGAACCTATACCATCTCTCAGCACCGCCCTGATGGCGTCCTTGAATATCAGGGCTACACCACCTCCCTTACCTTCCTGTCTGTCCTTCCGAATAGTCTGGTACCCTTGGATATTTAACTCCCAGTCGTGACCATCCTGTAACCATGTCTCCGTGATGGCTACCAAATCATATTCATTCGCGATGATTTGTGCCGTTAACTCATCAACCTTGTTACGAATGCTACGAGCATTCAGGTAAAGTGCCTTTATGCTAGCTTTCTTACCCTCATGATTTCCAACATCTCTAATAATATCTCGAGTTATCCTTCCTTTTTGCTTCTTTCATAGTCTGCCTTGAACTTAAACCTTCCTGCACACATCTAACCTGCTGCTTACCTTTTTATTTACCATCATACTCCCTGTCGTTTTCCCTTCCCCCCAACTCACTAGTTTAAAGTCCTAGTGACCACCCCATTTATCCTTTTCGCTGGAACACTGGTTCCAGATCGGTTCAGGTGGAGACCGTCCCATCGGTACAGATCCCTCCGGTTCCAAAACTGATGCCAATGCCCCATGAAATGGAACCCCTCTTTCCCACACCACTCCCTTAACCACGTGTTTACTTCCCTAATTTTCTTATCCGTAAGCCAATTTGCACGTGGCTCGGGCAGTAATCCGGAGATTATGACCCTCGAGGACCTGTTCCTTAATTTCGTTCCTAGTGCTTGATAATCCCCAAACAGATCCTCCATCCTAGCCTTGCCTATGTTGTTAGTCCCATTGTGGACCACAACAACTGCATCCTCCCCCTCCCGCTCCAATATCCTTTCAAGCCGGTCAGAGATGTCCTGCACCCTGGCACCGGGCAGGCAACACACCATGCGGGACTCCCGATCCGGCTTGCAAAGGATACTATCTATCCCCCTAACGATAGAATCCCCTATAACTACCACTTGTCTATTTGCTCCCCCCTCTTGAATGGCCTTCTGCACCATGGTGCCGCGGTGAGCTGGCTCATCCTCCCCGCAGCCCTTTTCCTCATCCACACAGGGAGCAAGTATCTCGTACCTGTTGGATAAGGTCAAAAGCTGAGGCTCCTCCACTCCTGAACTCAGGATCCCCCTACCTGCCTCACTTGCAGTCACACCCTGTTGTCCCTGATCACTAACTGAATTTGAATTACTTAATCTACCAGGTGTGACTGCCTCCTGAAACAAAGCGTCCAGGTAACTCTCCCCCTCCCGGATGTGCCGCAGTGTTTGAAGCTCAGATTCCAGATCTTCAACTCTGAGCCGGAGTTCTTCCAGCAACCAACACTTGCTGCAGATGTGGAAGTGTTGGAAAAGGTGCAGAGGAGATTTACCAGGATGTTGCCTGGAATGGAGGGAAGGTTGTACGAGGAAAGGTTGAGCGCGCTAGGGCTTTTCTCGTTAGAACGACGAAGGACGAGAGGTGACTTGATAGAGGTGTACAAAATGATCAGAGGTATAGATAGCGTGGGCAGCCAGAGACTTTTTCCTAGGGTGGAGGTAGCTATTACAAGGGGTCATAGTTTTAAAGTGAGTGGAGGTAGATATAGGGGAGACGTCAGAGGTAGGTTCTTTACTCAGAGAGTGGTCGGAGCGTGGAATGCATTACTGGAGAGTGTAGTGGAGTCGGCCTCATTAGGGGCATTTAAGCGGCTATTAAATAGGCATATGGATGATAGTATAAGGTAGGGGCGGAGGTTAGATAGACCTTAGGATTAGGGTAAAAGTTCGGCACAACATCGTGGGCCAAAGGGCCTGTACTGTGCTGTACTGTTCTACGTTCTATGTTCTTTGTACTGCTGAGGCTGTATAAGGCTCTGGTTAGACCGTATTTGGAATATTGTGAGCAGTATTAGGTAAGGAAGGATGTGTAGGCATTAGATGGGTCCAGAGGAGGTTCACAAGAATGATCCATGAGATGAGGAGCAGTTGAGTACTCAGGGTTTGTATTTAATGGACTTTAAAAGGATGAGGGAGAAATTGATTGAAATTTACAGAATAATGAGAGGCCTGGATAAACTGAATGTGAAGAAGATGGTTCCACTAATAGGAGAGACTAGGACCTGAGGGCACAGCCTCAGGGTAAAGGGACAACCCTGTAGAACTGAGATGAGGAGGAATTTCTTCAGTCAGACAGTGATTAATCAGTGGAACTCATTGCTGCAGAGGGCTGTGCAGGCCAAGTCATTGAGTGTATATAAGGCAGAGATAGATAGGTTCTTGATTGGTAAGAGGATTGAGGGTTAGGGGGAGAAGGCAGGGGAAAGGGGATAAGAAATATATCAGTCATGATCAAATGGCAGAGCAGACTTGATGGGTCAAATGGCCCAATTCTGCTCCTGTATCTTTATAAAACTTTGATTAGGCCACACTTAGAGCATTGTGTTTAATTATGGTCGCCACATTACAGGAAGGAATGTGGAGGCTCTGGAGAGAGTGCAGAATAGGTATACTAGGATGCTGCCTAGATTAGAGGGTATGAGCTAAGGGGCAGGCTAGAAAAACTTGGGTTGTTTTCTCTGGAGCGGCGGAGGCTGAGAGGAGACTCGATAGAAGTTCATAAAATTATGAGATGCATATATAGGGTTCACGGTCAGAATCTTTTTCCCCGAATTGAAATGTCTAATACAAGGGCATGCATATATGGCGAGAGGCGGAAAGTTCAAAGGGATTGAGAGGGGCAGGATTCTTTTTACACTGTCACAGGTGGTGGTGGAGGCAGATACGATAAAGGCATTTAGGAGACTTTTAGGTAAGTACATGAATTTGCAAGGAATGGAGGGATATGGAGCAAGGGTAGGCAGAAGGGATCAGTTTCATTTGGCATCATGTTCAGCACAACATTGTGGACTGAAGGGCCTGTTCCTGTGCTGTAAGGTCTATCTTCTATGTATCTTACAGTCTTGTGGAATCCTCCCTTAGGGTGGAATGGGAAAAATTATCAAAAGCATTCTGCAGCTTTTAGCGTGTATACGGAGCATGGAGATTTCCATACTGTATAAAAGAAGCTTTGCTTCAGAATTTGCTTCCAACACTCCCACAGGACATAAGTACTGGCTTTGTTCCAACAAAGATTTCAAATCAACATTTAAAACTTCACTTCTAGTTGTCTGAGAATGGTACACACATCGTCAAATGCCTCACCCCAACACTCCAGAAATTTAGGTCATTGTAAACCCTACTCACCGGTGGTCTGGTTTTGTCAAATGCTCCCATTGCAATTTTGAAGCCAGCTCCCTCTCCAATGAGGACATTCTCCTTAGGTACTCGCACATCTTCAAAGACAATACCTCTGGTATCGGAGCAGCGCTGACCCATGTTAATCTCCTAGCCCAACAACATACATGTCAATATTAAAAAGATTCACATATCATGTTGAGCTAATGCATGGCCATGTTTCTCTGTCAATATTTAAAATGGTTAATTAAATGATCATTGGGCAGAGGATAGACATTACTATTTTGAAGGGATGTGTTCAAAGGTACTGAAAAGCTTCACCACTCAAACTGAGTTGATACAATGTCGAGCTGGGGGAACATGGCAGGTCATACAGCATCAGAGGGGCAGGAGAGTCGATGTTTTGGGTTGAGACCCTTCATCAGGGCTGGGGAGGGGGAAGGGAGTTCAGAAATAAAGGGACGCAGTGGGGCTGGGGGAAGGTCGGTGGCATGGTGATAGGTGGATGCAGGTCAGGGGTTGTAGAGACTGGTCAATGGGAAGGGTGGGACAGGTAGGTGAGAAGGAAGATGGACAGCTTATGTCAGGCCAAGGATACGGGGATGAGAGGGAGGTTGGACATGGGTCAAGCCAGGGGGGTGGGGAGATTTTGAATCCGGTGAATTCCATGTGGAGGTCATAGGGCTGTAGGATGCCAAGGCAGAATGTAAGGTGTTGTTCCTCCAATTTACGTGTGGCCTCACTATGACATTGGAGGCGGCCAAGATGGACATTTCACCCAGGGAGTAGGACAGGGGAGTTAAATGGTTAGCAACCGGAAGGTGGTGTCGAATGCTGCGTACAGAGCGCAGATGCTCCGCGAATCAGTCACCGAGTCTGCGCTTGGTCTCTCAATGTAGAGGAGACCACATTGGGAGCAACGGATACAATAGACCAGGTTAGAAGACGTACAGGTGAATCCCTGTCAGATCTGGAATGATTATTTGGGGTCTGGGACGGAGGTGAGGGGGGAGGTTTAGGGGCAGGTGCGGCACTTCCTGCGGTTGCAGGGAAAGGTGCCGGGTGCGGTGGGGTTAGTGGGGAATGTGGAGCAGATGAGGGAGTCATGGAGTGAGCAGTCCCTACGAAAGGCAAAATGGGGGTGGGGAGGGAACTATCTCTTTGGTGGTGCGGTCTGATTGTAGGCGGCAGAAGTGGCAAAGGATAATGTGTTGGATTTGGAGATTGGTGCGGTAGTATTTGAGGACCAGGGGAGCTCTATCCTTATTGGTGTTGGGGGAAGGGGACTTGAGGGCAGAAGTGCAGGTAATACTGGAGATGCATTTGAAGGCATTATGAATCACCAGAGAAGGGTAGTTTACGGTCCTTGAAGTAGGAGATCATCTGGAATGGCTGGGAGTGGAACGTTTCATCCCAGGAGTAGATGCAGCGGAGGAGGTGGAATTGTCAGAATGGGATCACATTTTTGCAAGAGGGTGGGTGACAGGAGGTAGCTATGGGAGTCAGTTGGGTGTGAAATGGATGTTGCTGCTGAGATGGTTACCAGAGATGGAAACAGAGGGGTCCAGGAAGGGGAGGGAGGTGTCAGAGTTGGTCCAGGTGAATTTGAGGTTGGGGTGAAAGATGTTAATAAAGTTGATGAGCTGTTCAAACTCCTCATAAGAGCATGAGCCAGCGCTGATAGTCATCAACGTGGCAGAGGAAGAGGTGAGGGATGGTACCAGTGTAGCTGCAGAAGACAGACTGTTCCATGTATCCTACAAAGAGGCAGGCATAGCCCAAACCCACACAGGTGCCCACAGCCACCCCTTCAGTTTGTAAAAAGTGGGAGGAGCGAAAGGAAAAGTTGTTGAGGGTGAGGACAAGTTCCGTCAAGCGGATGAGTGTGTGTCGGTGGAGGGGGACTGGGTGAGCCTAAGGGAGAGGAAGAAACAGGACTATTTGCACGCCAAACAGCGAAAGCAGCAAGTGATAGATGGAGCTAAGCAATCCCTCAAGCAACAGATCAAATCTAAGCTCTGCAGTCCTGCCACATCCAGTCTTGAACGGTGGTGGACAATTAAACTCCTCACTGGAGGAGGAGGCTCCGCAAATATCGCCATCCTCAATGATGGAAGAACCCAGCACATCAACGCAAAAGACAAGGCTGAAGCATTCACAGCAATCTTCAGCCAGATTTGCCTGGTGCTGCATGCCCTCCTGCACTCTCCATTGAACCAGGGGTGATCCCTTGGCTTTATGGTAATGGTTGAGTGGGGGATATGCCAGGCCACGAGGTTACAGATTGTGCTGGGGTATAATTCTGCTGCTGTTGATGGCCCACAGCGCCTCATTGAAGCCCATTCTTGAGGTGCTAGATCAATTCAAAGACTGTCCCATTTAGCACAGTGAATGTGCCACACAACACAACGGAAGTTATTCTCAGTGTGAAGGCGGGACTTTGTTTCCACAAGGACTGTGCGATGGCCACTCTTACCGATACTGTCATGAGACAGTTGGCCCAATTTTGGCACTAACTCCAGACGTTAGTGAGGAGGACTTTGCATGGTTGACAGGGCTGTTTCTGCCATTGTCTTTTCCGGTGCCTAGGTCGATACCTGGTGATCCATCTGGTTTCATTTCTTTGAGACTTTTTAGCAATTGGTACAACTGAGTGGCTTGCTAGGCCATTTCAGAGGGCAATTGAGAGTCAACCACATTGATGTGGGTCTGGAGTCACGTGTAGGCCACAGTAGGCGAGGGTGGCAGATTTCCTCCCCTGAAGGACATTAGTGAACGAGATGGGTTTTTCCAACAATCAGTAATGATTTCATGGTGATCAGTAGATTCTTAATTCCAGACTTTTTTTTTAAGTTTTGAATTCAGATTCCATCTTCTGCCGTGGTGGGATTCAAACCCGGATCCCCAGGACATTAGCTGGGTTTCTGGATTAATAGTCTAGTGATAATATCACTAGGCCATCGCCTACCCCCGCCTCCCACCTTAAAAATATGCCGAGTTTTGAACTCTCCCACTCTAGGGTAAAGACCTTTGCTTTCATCTTATCTATGTCCTTCATAATTTTATAAACCACTATAGGGTCACCCGTGAACCTCCTATGCTCCAGCAAAAAAAAGTTCCAGCCTATCCAGCCCCTTCTTATACGTCAAGCCCTTCAGTCTTGGCAACATCCTGGTAAATCTTTTCTGAGCCCTCTCCAGTTTAATAATATCCTTCCTATAACATGGTGACCAACACTGCACAGTACTCCAGAACAGGCCTCAACAATGTCCTGTACACCCTCACCATGACGTCCCAACTACTATGCTCAAAGATCTGAGCAAAAAAGGCAAGCATGCTAAATGCCTTCTTAACCAACCTGTCTACCTCTGACGCAAATTTCAAAGAATTATGTACCTGAAACCCTAGGTCTCTCTGTTCTACAATACTGCCAAGGGCCCTACTATTAATTGCATAAGTCCTGTCCTTGTTTGTTTTACAAAAATGCGATATCTCTCATTTATCCAAATTAAACTCCATCTGCCACTCCTCAACCCATTGACCCAATTGATCAAGATCCCTTAGATAACCTTCTTCACTATCTACAATGCAACCAATTATTGTGTCATCCGCAAACTTACTAACCGTGCCTCCTATATGCTCATCTAAATCATTCATAAAAATAATAAATAAAAGTGCACCCAGTACCGATCCCTGTGGAACACCGCCGGTCACAGGCTTCCAGTCCGATAAAGAAACCTCCACACCCTGTCTCCTACCACCAAGCCAATTTTATATTGAATTGGCAAGATCACCCTGAATCGCAAGTGATCTAACTTTCGTCTACCATGCCAAACCTTATCAAAGGTTTTACTAAAGTCCATGCAACCAACATCAACCGTTTGGCTGTCAATTGTTTTGGTTACTTCCTCAAAAAACTAAATCAAGTTCATGAGACACAATTTCCCTTGCACAAAGCCATGCTGACTATCCCTAATCCATCTTACTGCTCTAAATGCATGTAAATCCTATCTTTCAGAACCAGCTCTGACAACTTACCCACCACCGTTGTCAGACTTACAGGTCTGTATATTCCAGGATTCTCCTTACAGCCTTTCTTAAATAAAGGCACAACATTAGCCATCCTCCAGTCCTCCAGCACCTCATCTGTCGTTCTGTACAAATACAAATATTTCTGCAAGGGGTCTCACAGTTTCTTCCCTAACTTCCCACAACATCCTGGGGTATACTTGATCAGGTCCCAGAGATTGTAGTATGGCGCACTGACCTCTACATCGCCGAGGCCGGACGCCAACTCTCCGACACCTCCTCCTACCGCCCCCTTGATCATGACCCCACCCCTGAGGACCAAACCATCATCTCGCAAGCCATCCACAACCTCATCACCTCAGGTGACCTCCCACCCACGGCCTCCAACCTCATCGTTCCCCAACCTCGCACTGCCCGCTTCTATCTCCTTCCCAAAATCCACAAACCTGAATGCCCTGGTCGACCCATTGTCTCCGCCTGCTCCTGCCCCACCGAACTGATCTCCAACTATCTCGACTCCATTTTCTCCCTCTTGGTCCAGGAACTCCCTACCTATGTCCGGGACACCACCCACGCCCTCCACCTCCTCCAGAACTTCCAATTCCCCGGTCCCCAACACCTCATCTTTACCATGGATGTCCAGTCCCTCTACACCTGCATTCCCCATGCAGATGGCCTTAAGGCCCTCCGCTTCTTCCTGTCCCGCAGGCCCGACCAGTCCCCCTCCACTGATACCCTCATCCGCTTAGCCGAACTCGTCCTCACATTCAACAACTTCTCTTTCAATTCCTCCCACTTCCTACAGACAAAGGGGGTAGCCATGGGTACCCGCATGGGCCCAAGCTACGCCTGCCTCTTTGTAGGTTACGTGGAACAATCCCTCTTCCGTACCTACACCGGCCCTAAACCCCACCTCTTCCTCCGTTACATTGATGACCGTATCGGCGCCGCCTCGTGCTCCCACGAGGAGCTCGAACAGTTCATACACTTCACTAACACCTTCCACCCCAGCCTTAAGTTTACCTGGACCATCTCTAACATCTCTCTCCCCTTCCTGGACCTCTCTGTCTCCATATCGGGCAACCACCTGGAAACCGATATTCATTTCAAGCCCACCGACTCCCACAGCTACCTAGAATACTCCTCCTCCCACCCACCTTCCTGCAAAAATGCTATCCCCTATTCCCAATTCCTTCGCCTCCGCCGCATCTGCTCCCAGGATGAGGCATTCCACTCCCGTACATCTCAGTTGTCCTCGTTTTTCAAGGACCGTAACTTCCCCTCCTCGGTGGTCGAGAACGCCCTCAACTGTGTCTCCCACATCTCCCGCACCTCATCCCTCACACCCCGTCCACGCAATAAGAACCAAAAAAGAATCCCCCTCGTCCTCACGTACCACCCCACCAACCTCCGGATCCAACGCATCATCCTCCGACACTTCCGCCATCTGCAATCCGACCCCACCACCAAAGACATCTTTCCCTCCCCACCCTTATCTGCTTTCCGGAGGGACAACTCTCTCCGTGACTCCCTTGTCCGCTCCACACTCCCCTCCAGCTCCACCACACCCGGCACTTTTCCCTGCAACCGCAGGAAGTGCTACACCTGCCCCCATACCTCCTCCCTCACCCCCATCCCAGGCCCCAAGAAGACTTTCCACATCAAGCAGATGTTCACCTGCACATCTGCCAATGTGGTATACTGCATCCGCTGTACCCGGTGTGGCTTCCTCTACATTGGGGAAACCAAGCGGAGACTCGGGGACCGCTTTGCAGAACACCTACGCTCGGTTCGCAATAAACAACTGCACCTCCCAGTCGCGAACCATTTCAACTCCCCCTCCCATTCCTCAGACGACATGTCCATCCTGGGCCTCCTGCAGTGCCACAACGATGCCACCCGAAGGTTGCAGGAACAGCGACTCATATTTCGCTTGGGAACCCTGCAGCCCAATGGTATCAATGTGGATTTCACAAGTTTCAAAATCTCCCCTCCCCCTACCGCATCCCAAAACCAGTCCAGCTCGTCCCTGCCTCCCTAACCTGTTCTTCCTCCCACCTATCCCCTCCTCCCACCTCAAGCCGCACCTCCATCTCCTACCGACCAACCTCATCCCGCCCCCTTGACCTGTCCGTCCTCCCTGGACTGACCTATCCCCTTCCTAACTCCCTACCTACACTCACCTTTCCTGGCTCCATCCCCGCCTCTTCGACCTGTTTGTTTCCTCTCCACCTATCCTCTCCTGTATCCCTCTTCTATCCACCTCCCACTCTCTCCCTATTTATTTCAAAACCCCCTTCCCCTCCCCCTTTTCTGATGAAGGGTCTAGGCCCGAAACGTCAGCCTCTCTGCTCTTATGATGCTGCTTGGCCTGCTGTGTTCATCCGGCCCTGCACCTTGTTGTCTCAGATAAACACTGACATTGTCAGCAACAAAGGAAAAAATAATCTCTCTCTCCCGGGTATATATAGAGTCATAGAGATGTACAGCATGGAAATAGACCCTTACGTGACTCAGTTTGAAATAGTCTTCTGGTATAGTGAGACTTATTTAAATGGATTATTTTCTTTGAGGGACTTTAGTCAGTTTAGCAGGATTTTTTTGCACAACATTGCTACCTTTAAACTTGTGCCTTTCATATTTCAAGCAAATGCCAGTCATCCTCGCAGGCAGTGAGGAACAGCAGAAGAAGTACTTGGGACGAATGACTGAGGCTCCGTTGATGTGTGTGAGTGTAGCTAAATATAATGGTTCACAAAATCATTCACTGCAAAAACAAAATCCTCTGTAAACACCTATAGCTAATGGAGTTCTTCTCCCTTCTCAGGCATACTGTGTGACAGAACCCGGTGCTGGCTCCGATGTAGCTGGCATCAAGACCAGAGCAGAGAAAAAGGGTGACGAATACATCGTTAATGGTCAGAAGATGTGGATCACAAATGGTGGCAAAGCTAACTGGTGCGTTTCCAACTCTGTTGAGTTCTCCAAATTATAATAACTTGAATTATTATTATCAGGGGATGATTCAGGTGAGGAGGCTAGTTAGTCCATCATGCCTGCATCAGTTCATTGAAAGCACTACAAACATAACTCCTCTGGCCTCTTCTGTTACCACCACTAGCTTCCCCAGCCCACCTACCCCCAAATTGTTGCAAATTCTTTCCTGATTATGCAGAACTTGATTATTACTGAAGAGAGAGGCATGCTGTCAAATCTTTTCACTTTGCAGTTACCAGGGCACAATTGCAAGAATACCAAATCTTTTTAAAAATACAAAACAAGTCATACTGCAAAGAAGTGGGTGTTGATTGTTTGCCATGGACTCTGACTTATAGAGTTGTCGCCATGGCAAACACACCAGGGAGCAGTTAACTGCTAAACTTTTGTTTGAATTCAAACCAGGCAAATTGACTTTCGTCAAAGCATTGCTGTAGGGAGTACACCAGGGAATACCTGCCTGATAAGCCGTTTGTCATTTGGAAAGAGCAAGCAGTGGCTACCATTGCTTTTTTAAATTCATTCATGGGATGAGGGCGATGCTGGCTGGGCCCAACATTTATTGCCCATCCCTAATTGCCCAGAGGGCAGTTAAGAATCAACGACATTGCTGTGTGTCTGGAGTCACATGTAGGCCAGACCAGGTAAGGAAATCATTTTCCTTCCCTAAAGGACATCAGTGAACCAGTTGGGTTTTTCTGACAGTCGACAATGGATTCATAGACTCTTAATTCCAGATATTTATTGATTTCAGATTCCACCATCTGCCATGCATTGTTTCTAACTCAGGTCCCCAGAACATTACCTGCGTCTCTCGATTAACAGTCCAGAGCTAGGTTGTTGCCAATCCTTGCATAATAGTGTAAAACAGCTAGCTTCATTCATTGCTCAAATTTTGAAATAATTTGCTCTTCCAGTGTAGTCTGAGGTAGACTTGGAATTTTTCTGGACCAGACATCACAATTTTAGGCCCCTGCATGAGTTTGCACTATATACAGTGAGCAGTGAACTGATTGGGGAGCCTACTTAGACATCAAACTTGCCCAGTGAGCAATGGCTCAGGCCATGATTACTGATCTTATAGTGTGTGGAACTGTAGGAATCCGAACATGCACATTGACTAGTGAATGTGGGCTTACAGTCAACAGTAGCGGAGAACATGTTAATGGCTTTCTCAACAAGATAGGGAGCTGTGTTGACTGCTGCATTTCAAATGTTAATTTGAGTACAGAATGCAGACCATTGAAACGTGAGGAAATTCTTCCATACAGCTGCTGATTCAAGTATAGCAAACCTATCTGTGTATTGAAAATATGCGAAAGGTAGGAGGTGAGGTGTTCTTCCATCGATGATGCAGTTAATTCCAGATATTTGTATAAAGAGCATAACGTGGGGTTGAGATAGATTAGCCATTATCTTACTGTATAGTGGAGCAGATTCAAGTGGCTCTTCTTATTAGTTACATTCTTCTTTTGCTAGAAATTGTCTGTCAAGGTGAAGAAGTTCTCTGGAAGATTTCTTCACTGTTTAATTGTCACAATGATTTGATCAGCAACTCCCCACCCTCTCCAGACAGGTATACCAAGGCATTTCATGTACAAGATGCAAAGCAAGAAGAGTGGTGGGTGCATGGAATGCACTGCCAGCAGTGGTAGTAGAGTCAGATACATTAAGGACTTTTAAGCGACCCTTGGACAGGCACATGGAGGACAGTAAAATGTAGGGTATGCAGGGTAGATTGGTCTTAGTAGGATAATAGGTCGGCACAACATTGTGGGCCGAAGGGCCTGCACTGTCTGTACTGTTCGATGTTCACGCAGATACAAAGACTTCCAGTATGTCCTGTCTAGTAATTCCCAGTTTAGTAATAAAATTAAGTTGTCAATTACTGTGGGAATGGCAACATTCAATAAGAGGTTTAAAGGAACCTTCATAGTCCACATTTGGGCTTACTCAGAATAAAAGGCCTGGTCTAATTAAACACATCTCCAGAATAGATTTGATACTTGGAATGTCATTATCCGTGGTTTGGGAGCTGATACTGTTGTCAGGAGAGTGAGTGAAATGGAAGCTTGAAAGATTTCAACGGAAGAGTTCCAAAGAGGTTTATTCTTTGGCTCCTAGAATTATATTTTCTGGAAATTGCAGATTGATAAATGAATATATTTGTTCTTCTTGTATTACAGTAACTTAATCTCTATCCCTTTCCAAGGAAAGAGGGATGATAGTGAATCTCTCACTTTCGACCTGCATCTTTTACTCGTTTTTTTCCTGTTTCTCTCCTTTCACTGTTTGTCTGTCTGTATCGGTCTCTCCAGCTGCTGCCCCCAACCTGCGCTGGCTGTTCAAAAGAGCTCACTGGTTACATCACAAAAGTTGCAGAGGAGGTTTACCAGGATGCAGCCAGGGGTGAAGTATTTGGCTATGAGGAGTTCTGGAAAAGTCAATGCTACTTTTTGTAGAACAGGCGAGATTTAAAAGTGATTGAGTTGAGGTTTTGAAAGAATATATAAATAAAATCTATTCCCAGTGGCAGATCAATAAACAGAGGCAATAGATTTAAAATAATGGGGGAAAGACTAGGAGAGGGAGGAGGAACAATTTTACATTCCATTGTTGACAGCTGGGAACCTCTTACCAAGGAGCTTGTGGGAGCTGATTCCATAAATAATTGCAAAAGGAGTTGGCTAGGTAGCTGACAAAGAACTGCAGGGTTATGAACAGAAAGCAGGGATGTGGGTCTTTCTAAGAGGCAGTATGTGAGATGGGCTGAATGGCCTTCTGCATAGACCCATTCTCCCCTGCTGTTTTTTCATAAACCTGTAAACGTTGGCTTCTCCAGATTTTATCCAGCTCCTTTTTATTATTGAATCTGCTTCTGTTGTACGTTCAGGCAGCATGTTTCCTGTCATCATGAAAATAAAATCCCTCTCTATTCCATTTCTGGCTCTTTTATGAATCAAATCTGAGTCCTTTGATCACAGACACTTTTGTCAGTGGAACCACCTTGGCCTTATTTATTCTTACGTAAACCCTTCAAAATTCTGAACATTTTTATTAAATCTCCCCTTCAGCATCTTCAATCTGCAGGGAAGCCAAACTGAGGTCAAACCAAATGGGACAAAGCTCCAGTGGTGGCAAAATGAGACTTCTGAGCTTCGAGCAGCTGCTGGTTAGCACAACCTGGAGGCTCCGCACAAAGATCTGTGATCAATCGAAGCCCTCTAAACCAATTTTTAATTTTGTTTTTTTTTGCCAAGAATGGATCTGTTGAAGCAATGTGAGGATCTGTCTCTGTTGTACGGCCATAAAAAATAGGAACAGGAGTAGGCAGTTCAGCCCTTGAGCCTGCTCTGCCATTCCTCGCATTCACTTTCATTCCCATTTCCTATAATACTTGAATCCTGGATTGATGAAGGATCTGCAAGGAAAACAATCCCAGATTCTAGTTCTTTTGATATGACTGTTCTCTCATCCCCGGTCTCTCAGAATTACAGAATTATTAAGCACAGGAGGTGGTCATTTGGCCCATTATGCCATATCAACTGTCCAAATGAGCATCTTGGCTTATGCCATCCTCGTGTTTTTTATCCCTGTAACCCTGCAAATTGTTTCTATTTAAATATTGCCTCAATTGAACCTGCCTGCACCACCTTCCAGGTAGTGCATTCAAGATCCAGAATAATCACTGTGTGGAAAGGATTTTTTTTCTCATCTCTCATTTGCTTCTTTTGCAAATCAGTTTAAAGCTGTGCCCTGTTGTTTTTGGTCCTGTTCCAGTAAATCTCCCCCATACTCTCTCCAAGGCCATGGTATTCTTCTTACAATGTGGTGCCCAGAATTGAACATAGTCAACCAGCTGGGGGCTAACCAGTGATTTATGAAGGTTTATATTTCTGGGATAGCTCCTTTTTTTTAAAAAAAAAAAAAAGTTTTGGGACTCCAAGTGAAACTGCAAGCTTTATCTACAGCCATAATGTGAAATAACATTTTTTGGGAGTTTTGGAATGGAATCTCCCAGTCAGAGTTGGAGGATGGTGGCATCTCTAGGGGCAAGTAAACAATCTGAAGCTGAGCAATCTCCAGGATGTTGCAGCTTCTCTTTAACAACTTGCTCAGGAGAGTGGCTTGACCAGGGTCTGGACCTATTATAGTATGCCCTTCAGCATTTTGGACACTGAAAGAGGAAAGAAAAACACCTAATTGTAGCAAATAAGTTTATTTAAAAAAAGAAAATTGGGAGTGGGTCATTTGCAAATAGTTGATCATTTCTAAATGTTTGTTTTGCTCCAGGTATTTTCTCCTTGCTCGTTCGGATCCAGATCCCAAAGCTTCTGCAGGCAAGGCTTTCACTGGCTTCATTGTAGATGCTGACTCTCCTGGAATCCAAATTGGAAGAAAGGTAATTGGCGTGTGCTTGTATGCAGAAATGTTTCAATGATTCAAGAATTGACTGGAGTAAACTATTCATAAGAACATAAGAACTAGGAGCAGGAGTAGGCCGTCCGGCCCTTCGAGCCTGCTCCGCCATTCAATAAGATCACGGCTGATCTTTTCGTGGACTCGGATCCACTTGCCCGCGTTCTCACTGTATCCCTTAATTCCTTTATTGTTCAAAAAAAATCTACCTTATCTTTAAAAACGTTCACTGAAGTAGCGTCAACTACTTCATTGGGCAAGGAATTCCATAGGTTAACAACCCTCTGGGTGAAGAAATTCCTTCTCAATTCAGTCCTAAATCTGCTCCCTCTAATCTTGAGGCTATGCCCTCTTGTCCTAGCTTCACCTGCCAGTGGAAACTTCCTCTCTACTTCTATCTTATCTATTCCCTTCATAATTTTATATGTTTCTATAAGATCCCCCCTCAATCTTCTGAATTCCAATGAATATAATCCCAATCTACTCAGTATCTCCTCATAAGCCAACCCCCTCAACTCCGGAATCAACCTAGTGAACCTCCTTTGCACCCCTTCCAATGCCAGTAC